CACCTGCGCAAGGGTGTAGCTCCCCCTTGATTCGCGCAAGGATCAAGTGCTCTCTATGGGTTGATTCTTCGTCACTCCATCGCGGCGAATCACCCAAAGCCGCTCACAATTTGAGTTGGGTCACGCATAAGCTACGCCGGGTGATCACCAAGCTCCCAATCACCACCAAGCCGTCTAGGTGATGGCGATCACCAAGAGTAACAAGCACGAACTCTCACTTGACCACGCGAAGCCTAATGAGAAGATGGATGCACACTTGACTACTCTTGATTCACTAATGAGGTTTCACTCTTGGATTCTCAAATCACAAACACCTCACTAGGACCTTGCTCTTCTTGGCACTCACAAACGTGTTTCTCAGCTGTTGGAATGAGCAAAAGTAACTCCACACACGAGTGGAGCTTCATTTATAAGGCAGCCTAAAAAACGAACCGTTATGTGCCTCTACGGGGTGACCGGACGCTCCGGTCATGTTGACCGGACGCTCCGGTCAGTTCAACCCATGAACCAGTGAAAAGAGTTGACCGGACGCTGGAAGGGTCTGGTCAGCATTGATCGGATGCGTCCGGTCACGTTAAACCCTTACTGGAACCTTACTGTACTCGACCGGACGCTGAACCCCCAGGGTCCGGTCAGTACTTACCGGACACGTCCGGTCGTAGATTCTCTTCTCTGGAACCTTACTAGAGTCGACCGGACGCTGCCTCTCAGCGTCCGGCGACTTGACCACTCCAGCGTCCGGTCACACCGAACGCAGTCCCTTGATCAAATGAACTGACCGGACCCTGCGGCTAGTGTCCGGTCGCACCGGGGCCAGCGTCCGGTCAGTATTTGACCCTCCATTCACCTTCAACTCTCGACCATGTGTGAATGAAATTTGCTTCATTAGATCTTAGGGCTGTTGTGGAGCTACCTAGTGCTAGTTTTAACAAGTGTGCACCACACCTAACTCACTAGACTCATCTAGGTCAAGCGTCCATACCCCCCTTAATAGTACGGCCAAAAGAAAAAACAAAGTCCTAAACTACTCTAAGTGTCACTCCAACTCTAATCAACACTTAGAACTAGTCATCCTTAACCTTGTCGTCCATCCTTTGAAAACCGAAACGATTTCCATCGTAGGGGCATGACCACCTCGATTGCCCAATCGATCTCCATTACCATGACCTAACTTAATTGCCCCTGCAAAACACACGTTAGTCATAATAATCTTGTATTGTCATTAATCACCGAAACCCAACAAGGGGCCTAGATGCTTTCACTTGGGACGGTCAAAAATAGCTCCGACCGCCTCCTCACCCAAGGCGTAGCTGGTGGCGATGTCGAGGAGCTCCTTGGTGGTTCGCGGGCCCTTACGTCTCAGCTTGTGAACCAGGGACTTGCAGGTGGTCCCGGATAGGAAGGCTCCTATAATGTCGGCGTCGGTGACGTCGGGCAGCTCGTTGCACTACCAGGAGAAGCGCCGGATGTACTCACAAAGAGTTTCCCTGAACTTCTGTTGGTAGTTTTTTAGATCCCACAGGTTCCTAGGACGCGTGTAGGTGCCCTAGAAGTTTCCCACAAAAATCTCCTTTAGGTTCGCCCAACTTTGAGTCCGGTGGGGCGGAAGGTGCTCCAACCATGTTGCCGCCGAATCGGCCATGAACAATGGGAGGTTACGGATAATGAAACTATCACTATCTGCTCCACCGGCTTGGCAAGCAAGCCGGTAATCCTTGAGCCATAGTCTGGGGTTCGTTTCCCTAGAGTATTTTGGGATGTTGGTCGGCGGTCGGTACCGCGATGGGAAGGCGGCATTGAGGATGTGTCGGCCGAAGGCCTGAGGTCTCGGTAGGTCGGGGCTCGGGCTTTGGTCCTCGCTGCTGTCGTAGCGTCCGCCGTGACGAGGGTGGTAGCTACGGCCAGCTTCCTCTCTCTCGTCGCTTCGTCCACGCCTATGGGCATCTAGGGTGTTATGTACGTCACAGTGGAGGCCAAGACACTCATGCACAGAGGCCGTGGTGCACCCCCCACTACCGTGTGGTGCCTGGTGGATAGACACATCCCTGACATGTTGTCCCGAGGGCGCGCACTGACTGGCATCGAGCTCGCGTCGCCGAGACAGCCAGCTCTCTGCCTGCTGCACCGCCGCGCGCTCGAGCGGTGTGCGGATCTCGCGATGGGCCCAACGATCCTTGGGTGTCACGGGCTCCGAGAGCCCTCGGAGCTAGGCCTCCACGGCAGCGATGTTCCAGCTTACCCGAGCGAAGTGTGGGAGGGCTCCATCGTCTTTGATGATCTTCCAGTTCACGTCACGGGCCATGGCGCGCGCACGCCCACCGTCTCCACAGCGCTCGATCTCTTGCTCGAGCTCTGCGTGCTCCTGCTCAAGTTGGAGCCGTGCATCCTTGAGCTCCTGGTGCTGCGCCCTTAGCTATTCCACCCGCATACGAGGAAGGGCCCCTACATATTCCTCGACCTCATCATCGAGGTCATTTGGTGGGCTAGCCGCTCCCTCGTGGACGCTTTCGACGCGTCCCTCGGGGGTACTTGCCATAAAACATTCTCACGAGGGGTGATTGCTCCCCCTACTAGAGTCAGAGTCGGAGAGCGACTATGAATCTCCCGCGAGAAGGTCGTGGAAAGATTCCACAACGTATTCGGTAATCCCCATGAACTCATCGTTCGTAGGGGATGGGTGCATGCACTACGCCACGAGGTGGCCAACGGTCCCAGTAACATTGCGCAGACCGAATGGGAATGCTGCCGGGGCGCCCCGGGTGAGGTGTTCCGGGGAGAGCGGTTCCCCTCCGGCGAGTTGCATTATGGTGTTGGCAAAGGAGAAAGTAAGGCAGTGCAGCTCCTCTCGGGACGGTCGGGGTCCTAGGAAGGCGTCGAATTGGCGTTCTAGCCTCCCGTAGTCGAAGCCGAAGAGCCGGTCGGTACTAGGGACATGGGCCTCTGGTGTGTGTAGCTACAGCTCCTCAAGCGCCTCGACAATTGCATCGAGGCCAGTGAAGTGGAGAGGCTGCGGGGGCCTGCGCCAACTCTCCCCCCGTCGTGACGATGAAGTCCAGGCTCCCGAAGCGCACGTGCGCGCTCGGGACCCAGCTCACGCCATGACTAGCTATCCGAGGCCTGATGTGGATGTTGAGACACACAAAAAACCCTACCTGGCGCGCCAACTGTCGGTGTTTCAGATCACCGGCTAGTAAATTTCTAGTTTACGCGTCTGGCCCGGATGGTGTGCTCAGAGGACATAAGGATTATACTGGTTCGGGCATAATGTCCCTACGTCTAGTCTGCTGCTGCTCGTGTTACCGCCACTATCTGTAGTAGGGGTTATAGATGGGCGAGAGAGGGAGTGAATCCCAGGTCTCTGGTGGAAGGATTGAAAAGTGCTGACAGTTTGTTCAGCTGCTCAGCCGTGTGCTCGTGTCCCATGTTGTGTTGCGTTGTGTTCCCCCTTTTATAGAAGAAGGAAGATGCAGGTTACATTAGAAAAAGAGAAAGAGGGAGAGAGTCGAGGAGAAGAAGCCCTCTAGGACCGTAGTGTCCTTCTTCTCCTTCATGCGGGTCCCGCCGACGCTGTAGATGGTGACAGGGACGGCTCCACGTCGGGCTCCTGTTCACCACTGGTGCTATGCCTCGACGTCATCAGCTGGTCGTGGCGTTCAATCCAGTCTTGGTGGACGACATGGTGAACCGACGTGCCTATCAGCGGGGATTAGACAGCATAGCGCCCACGCACCCCTCACTATTGGCGATGCAAACCCCCAGGCGTGGCCTATCGTGGCCACGGGTCATGTCAAAGCGTGCCCGCGCCCCTTCTGGTGTCAGAGGCTTGACCCAGGCCCACACGCTTGGACCCATAGTGGTTGGGGGTGGTATGGACCCCGCTGGGCAAGGTGGAGCCCGCGCTCGAGGGGCCGGGTGAGACAAAGCCCGCGCCCTCAGGGTCGGGCGCCCTCAGGGTCGGGCGAGATGGAGCCCTCGCCCGAGGGGTCGGGCGAGACGGAGCTCGTGCCCTGAGGGTCTGGCGACACGGGCCCCGTGCCCGAGGGGTCTGGCGAGGTGGAAACTGTCCCTTCGGGGTCGGTCGAGACTGAAATACGTCCTTGATTATCTAGGCGAGTTGTCGTCCGCGGTCCTCAGATCCCTTCTTCGGGTATCCCTAATACTGATACCCGACACTGGGTATAGTGCGTTGGGACATCCACACTACTTTAGATTCAGTGCTCACTGGCTTCAACAGGAAGGCTTCAAGGATTGGGTGAGAGACAAGTGGTCGTCCAGATTTAAACACGATCCCTTAGATCACTGGCATATTGTCTCGAGTAAGCTGAGGAGGGCTATAAAAGGATGGGGTTAGAACCTAGACAGTCATCAGCAGACCCCAGCAGAATGGGAAGAGAGATATCATTTAGAGAGATCTATAAACCAAATGTTAACAGATGAAAAAATGCAATGGCAGAGGAGAGGTGGAGAGAAGTGGTTGTTAGCAGGTGACTCAAATTCCAGCTACTTTCATAAGTGTGCTAATGGCAGAAGAAGGAAGATGCACATTTCAATGCTAGAGGTGGATGGTCAAGAGACGGTTGATCCTCAAAGTCTTAGATCCCATATTACAGATTATTATAAGAGTTTGTTTGGGAGTGAAAAGGTAGCTGACATGCATTTAGAGGCGAATTTATGGCCGAGTAGCCAACAGATCCATCAGGAAGACAATGATTTTTTGACTAGGCCTTTCACTTTAGATGAATTGGATATGGTGATTAGAGACATGAAAAACAATACAGCTCCAGTTATTCTGTAGAGTTTTTCAAAGCATTCTGGCATTTAATTAGAGATGATATTAAGGAAATGCTTGACAAGCTGTCTGATGGACATTTAGAGTTGTGGAGACTGAATTATGGGTGATCATTTTGCTACCAAAAGTCAAACCAGCTACCAATGTTAAGCAATTCCGGCCGATTTGTCTCCTGAATGTGATTTACAAAATCATCACTAAAACCCTCACCATGAGGCTGACAACAGTGGTTGGAAAGGTTGTGAGCCAATTTCAAACTGCTTTTATACCTGGAAGGAACATATTAGAGGGAGTGGTCATTCTTCAGGAGGTGTTACATGAGCTAAGGGTCACAAAATCAGCTGGGGTCATCATTAAACTAGATTTTGAGAAAGCGTATGACAGAGTTAATTGGAATTTCCTTGAAGAAGTATTGCATAGGAAGGGATTTGATGAGAAGTGGATTCAGTGGATGAATAAAGCGATTAGAGGAGGAAGAGTGTGCATGGACTTGAACGGGGAGAGAGGGGACTATTTTAGAAGCTTTAAAGGTCTCAGACAAGGTGATCCTTTGTCTCCTCTCTTGTTCAACTTAGTAGCGGATGCCCTATCTGCCATGTTATCTAGAGCGTGCTCTGCTAAAGCTATCAAGGGGTTAGTACCTCATTTATTTGAAGGAGGTTTAACACACCTACAATATGCTGATGACACTGTTCTTCTCCTCCATTTTGACCCTAAGAATTTGAGAAATGTCAGGCTGTTACTTTCTTGCTACGAAGCCATGTCAGGAATGAAAATCAATTACGAGAAAAGCGAGATCTTCTCTGTGGGACTGTCCTTACAGGAGCAAAACATTGCAGTTGAGTCCTTGGGATGTAAAATTGGAGTTCTTCCAATGAAGTACTTGGGGATGCCTGTTAGCTGCCATAAGATATCCAAAGCCCAATTGAGTTATGTGTTTGAGAAGACTAGGAAGAGGTTGGGGACCTGGCAGTGTGAGTACCTATCATCAGGAGGGAAATCTACTTTGATAGATTCATGTCTGTCAAGCATCCCTATGTATACCATGGGTGTGTATCAGTTGTATGAAGGAATTTTTCAGTGCCTAGATTCTATCAGATCCAGATTCTTCTGGGAAGGAACAAGCAAGAAATGGAAGTATCATATGATAAAGTGGGAAGCACTGCATAGAACAAAAGAATTTGGTGGCCTCGGATTCATGGCTGTTAGAGTTATGAATACCTGTCTGCTTGCCAAATGGATTGATAAACTGGAGAGGGGGATACTAGTTTATGTTGTACTCTGTTGAGAAACAAATATCTAGGACAGAAAAGCATCTTCCAAATTGAAAACAGAAAGGGCTCTCAATTCTGGAGATCTTTGCTAGATGTGAGGGAATGGTACCAAATGGGTAGTTGTATCAGTACAAAATCTGGTGAACAGACTAGGTTTTGGCTTGACTGCTGGTTAGGGGATTGTGCACTGAAGGTGGCCTTCCCCAACCTATTTAAAGTCGTTGTCCATCCAGATATAGAGGTAGCTAAGGCATAGGTGGAGGGGCAGTGGCACTTGCGATTTAGAAGACAGCTGAATGGAATCCTAGGTGAGGAATGGAGAAATCTTTTGGAGTTACCAGAGGATGTTTCCCTGTCAGTTGGTAGAGATGAGATATTCTGGGCCTTAGAAAGATCTCGCAAATATTCTACAAGTTCCTTATATAAACTGATGACTTCTGGAGGTGTTCATGATACACAGATGATGCTAATCTGGAAATGTAATATTCCCTTGAAGGTTAAAATCTTCTTATGGATGGCCATGCATGATAGAATCCAGTGTGGTGTCCAATTGAAAAAGAAACAGTGGTCTGGCCCAGAAGCATGTTTCAGCTGTGATAAGCTTGAAACTTCAGACCATATCTTGTTTCAGTGCCCAATTGCAGTGTTCTTGTGGTCTTTTCTCCGAGAGAGCTTGAGTTGGCCGCTGTCGCCAACCAGTTGTTCATCTTTGTTTTTAGAGATCGTGAACAAGCATAGAGGAAAAGCACAGCAGGCAACGCTATTTCTATGTGCAGGTGCGTTATGGACCATATGGAAAAGCGTAATGATGTGGTGTTCACCAAGAAGACGGTGACTTCCCGATGGCAATCATGTACAAGACCCTGATGTTGGTGAAGTCATGGCGCCCCCTTTTGAAGCCCAAGCTGAAACCCTTGGCGGAGGAGATGATTAGCTTAGTTGCTTCTAATGCGTCTGTTGCGATGTAATAGCTGGGTGGCGTCTTAAAAAACTATTATAAGCGTCTTATTTTCTGGATGTTTGTGCTCGAGACTGTGGGTTAGAGTTGTGGACACTAGCCTCGTTCTTTAGAGTTGTTTAGAGGTTAAGATATGTTTTGAACTTTACTTGTAAATTGGAGTCCCCAGCATGATCTTGGGCTTTCGATAAGCTTTTAATAAAGCCGGTTGAAATGCCTTTGATCTAAAAGGGTGAATGAGACAGACTTTCACAATAGTTGAGGAGCCAAATAGACATTTTTTTCGTCGCTATAAATAGACTGCGCTTGGAGTCCTCCAAGCTTGCGTGCAGTGAGCCACGGGCCTTCATTCCTCTTTTTGTTCAGTGAGTAATGGGCCTCCTTTCCCCCTTCCGCCTTCGATGCGCCAGATGATGTCTGACCATTCGATCTGGGCTCATTGTGCGTGGGCTTATATGGGCCTTAGCCCCGGGAGGATCGCTTACGGTTTTGTTGTTGTGCGTGCCCAGACTTATGTGTTACCCGCCGGCTCGCCGGACGCCGGGAGCTCCGCGCCGCGCGTGCAGTTGGACCGGCCCGGCGCGTAGTAGGTTCCGTTTCGTGCGTGCTGGCGAGGCGACGGAGCAGAGCAGCTGGCGATCACACGCACATAGCACTAGCTCAAATATGCATATATATTCAGGTCAATTAACCCTGAGGGAGACACAGTACACGTCAACAATTCAGACCTTGCTGCCATTAACGGTCTCACTGCTACTAGTGTCCTTGGTGTCAGAGCCACTGGCACCACCACTGCTGCTCGCCTCGGCCTCGTGCACCTTTCCGTCCTCTGCTCCTCCGGCAGCCGCCGCTCCGGCCATGCCGACCTCCCTGAACCGGCCGTACAGGTCGCCGCGGTAGAAGTTCCTCGTCCTCCACGCCAGCACCAGCGACACGAGCGCGCCCAGCAGCGTGACGCCGGTGATGATGAGGAACGACTCCCTGAAGCAGCGCACGCCGATGCAGGTGAGATCCCTGCCCCGCCGCCCGCCCTGCCGGAGCGCCTCCCGATCGTACATGCGGCCGGCGATGCGGACGTTGAGGATGTAGGAGCCCACGGGGCTAGCCACGGCGCCGAAGTTGTAGAGCGTGGAGTAGTACTTGAGCCCGAACACCTCGGAGATGATGGCGAACAGCAGCGGCCACTGCGCGCCGAAGCAGAAGCCCAGGATCACGGACGCCGCGTACAGCCCGTTGCTGACGCCGAAGGCGATGAGCGCGTGGCCCACGCACGCCAGGAGGAGGACCACCGTGAGCGCCAGCGGCCGGGGCACCTGGTACCGGGCCAGCACGTACTCGGAGGCGAACCCGGACACCACGCGCCCGGCGTAGTTCCAGATGCTCACCAGGGAGACGAACGTGGAGATGGACCGCTGCGGGTAGCCCAGCGACTGCCCGATCTGCCCCATGTTGTCCACCGCCGTCAGCGTGCCGCCGATGCCGCAGATGGTGGCCACGAACAGGACCAGCATGTCCACGCTGAACAGGGCCTGCAGGATGGTGTAGTCCTGGCCCCGTGCCGGTGGCCGGAACACGTCCTGGAAGCAGGACGGCGAGCTGTTGTCCTCGGTGGCGGCGATGGCCTGATGGCGACGATCGGGCGACTCCGGTGCCACGTTATTGTTCGACGCCCGCGTCTTCTCGTCGACGGTGATCGTCACGATGGCGGCCGAGGTTGCTGCTGTTGGCGCCGGCGGCGCAAGGTAGGTCTTCAGCTCTTGCTTCACGACGATGACGATCGGGAAGAAGATGAGCAGGAGGAGCACTACGGCCGTGACGTAGTACGCCGGCTTCGGGAAGTGGATCACCTCCAGCTCGACGACGTTCATGACGAGCAGGTACGCTGCCAGCACGATGGAGGCGTAGAGGAAGAGGAAGAAGGCCTTGCGCTCCCCGCGCGCGGCGGCGTTCCGCGGCATGATGCGGATGGTGGGGATGAAGACCAGCGAGATGGCGGCGGGGAGCCACGCCATGAGCAGCACCAGGTCCGCGCCGTCGTTGTCGGTTCCGTAGATGGCGCGGTACAGCTGCGTGAAGATGGCGCCGCTGAGGCCGACGAAGCCCTTGAGCAGGCCGAGCACCACGCCGCGGTCCTCGGGGAAGTTCTTCACGGCGGTGACGAGCGAGCCGGTGTTGGCGAACGACTGCGAGTTGGCGCCGATGGCGATGTACAGGCACATGAGCCACACAGGCGGCTGCGCCGTGCGGCCGGTGATGGCCAGGTAGATCATGAGGTAGCCCACCAGGTTCATGCCAGCGCCGCAGAACAGCACCACCCACGGCGGGGTGACCTCGTTGATGAGCCCAGGGAGGATGCCCACGTTGGCGCCCACGTCCTTGAAGAAGCTCAGCGTGTTGAGCGTCTGCTGGTCGTACCCGAGCGACGTCTTGATCGCCTTGGAGTAGATGCCGAAGATGTACGTGCCGCCGGCCGCCGCCATGATCAGGATGGACGCGAAGAACATGAACCACCGCCCGCGCATGACGTGCAAAGCGAACCGCATCGTGCTCGCGGCGTCGGCGCCGGGGGCCGCCCCCATGGCACGGTCGCCGCCGAACACCATGTTCGTCCACCGGCTGGTTGGTTCTCGGGACGACCACGGACACACACACAAGAGGTCTCTTGAGCTAACTACTAGGTATACCACTTGTGTGAGCCCCACTGGCTGGCTACCTGCTATATGTAGTGAGTACAGACACAGTAAGTGGGTGCGTGTGTGTCTAGCTGTGAGACCGAGGGCTGTTTGTTTTAACTTTTGTTAATTACTTCCTGCCAGCTAAAGGGCAGAAACTGAAAAACAGTTTAGCCAAACCCCCCCAACCCCACTTTGAGCGTTGGATTTTTTTTTCCGTTCCTATATTTTTCCTTGCAAAAAATAAACTGAATCCTGTGAAATTCCTATTAAATTCCTGTAAAATTCTTACTTTCCAAATGGGCTCTTAGTTGTTGAGTTGACTTTTAAAATTTTGAAAAGCTAGCTTATGAGAAAATAAAAAAGCTAAAAGCACGTTTAAGGGGTTTACTAACTTTTGGTAAAAAAAACAATCCAGAAGGTCAGCTTTTGAGCCAAAAGACCACAAGCTGGGTCCTAGGGGCAACTGCAACGTGGCATTGTATATGCAGCGGCGAAGCCACAGTGCATGTGTCGGGGTCATGCGACCCCGATAACTTTGTACGAATCAGTGGAACCCCGCGTATTCCGGCCAGCTACGACCCTATCAGATTGAGTTCATGAATCTGTGCGACCCCAGCAGCAGTTTAGTCTAGATTCGCCGCTGTGTATATGGATCAAGAGTCTACATTTGTTATTATTTTCTCACAATAGTCAAACAAGTAGTCCATAAGATAGGTCCCAAACCGATAAAAAATCCCTCATCCAACCATCCCTTTCCCTTTGCGTCACCGTTTCTCTCTTCCTTTGATCCGCGTCATAGTTTCTTTCTCACCCTCCGATCTGCACTTTTGTTCCGCCTCTTCTCTCCAAGCTAGTTCTGATGCTGGCGTCGCCGCTCCTCTATGCCCACTAGTGCACGATGCGCAATTTCACCTAGGCCAGATTTGGTCATGCTATGAGTGGCTAACATCCATGGAGTCAAATCCGGTGGTGCCACGAGCTCCCGTCGCCAATGGCCCTAGGACGAGTGACGCGATGGCAGGATCCTGTGGCCCAACGACGAGAACCTCGGTGGACGACGAGCAGCCCCTCCAACAAGCGCTCCTCTTCTCACCAGTGGCTGGCGAGCACTCTGTGGCGGCCATCGGCGTCCATTGAGAAGAGGAATGTATGCCACCCCTGGTGCGAGCCACCAAATGTCGACTGTCCTCAATCCTAAGCACCCCAAGGAGGTCTTCCCCATGCTCATGTGGCAAAACGAATAGAAAGGGAGGAGTGAGAAGAATTAATGTTTTTTAATTTTTATTGTAGTCCATATACATATGAATACTTATTATTTTGGTCTGCTATATTAAGTGGTTCTACAATGCCTGTAGGTAAAATTTTACTGTCTATGGTATGCTTTTGGAATATAGGGTGGTTGCTCTAAGGCCATGTTCAAATCCACTAGCAGCTAGTAATAGTTATCTAGCTAATAATTGATAGCTAATATTACCACTTGCTAAAATATGGATGCATTGTTAATTTTGTCTATAGTGCCTTTTCCTTTTCTATGTATTTGATTTTTTATATAACAAGAATAGAGATGGGCGGCATGATAAAAATATTTTTTTACATTCTATTAATTGTCCAGCTAACAATTAGCTCACTTACTAGTTTAGTCTGTGTGGATCCATTCCACCTACTTTTTAGCAGCCAGTAACTATTGCTAGTTGTGTGGATCGAAACGGGCCTAACCAAAAGGAATTCATAAACGTGTTCCACTACAACTGGTCCAAAGATACGTGCATTTTAGATTTATCTGGACTCCGTGATAAACTAGTCCATCAATCAATGCTGCATAGGGTATTGTTTTTTAACCGGGTGTCTGTCTGCCCAGACGCTCTGTTGTCGGGCCACGACGCCAGCCCAACGACCGCCTCTTATCTGCTCGTTCACTCATCCTGCAACCGTTCTAAAAAACTCATCTCACCATAGCTCCATGATAGCGCTCTGTGGCCGCGCTCCGCCGCGCCTCCTCGGCCACCGCGCCTCCCTCTCCATCGCGCCTCCGCTTCGCCTGTCGACATCTCCACCGCGCCCAAGCACGGGAGCCGGTCTTCCTCCCTTTCCACTGTGCCTCCCGCCCCGCTGTGGCCTTCTCCACTGGAGCGGCGAGCTCCGTGCCACCAGAGAGCTCTACACCGGTGAACTCCACGCGCCGATGAGCCTCCTTTCGCAAGCAGTAAGGAGATGTTGCAAGCGTATGTTTCAAGTGTTTGAGATGTTTTAGAGGTATGTTGCAAGTGTTTTATACGGATGTTGCAAAAGTAGATCGGGATATTGCATATGTTGCAATGGTTGTACACGTATGTTGCAAGCTTCTGTTCCCTATGTTTCATCTATTTTTTCGAGTACGTTGCAAGTGTGTTTATTAGGATGTTGCATATGTTTCACACATATGTTGCAAGTGTTTTATCTGGATGTTGCGTATGTTTTACAATGGTTTTTAAGTGTTTTTCATATGTTTTTACAAGTGTTTCAGATGCATGTTTCATGTGTTTCATCTGCCATCAGACGTATATTGCAAGTATTGCATCTGGATGTTTTAAAAGTAGATCGGGTGTTGCATCTCTCTCCTTATTTTTGCTGCCTCGCCTCGGTGTCTCATCTTCCCGACACCGGCTGGGCATCCACCGTCCCTCCCCTGCTTCTCGATGCTGGTGATGGGGCGACATGGGCATGCGTGTAAGAAACGGTGTGGGAAACGACCCCCCCTCCCCCTCTTCTCGATGCTAGCGACGTTCGGGGCGACGTGGGCCCCTCATGGGCGTGCGAAATGGCACAGGAAACGGTCTGTAGGCACGGGCGTCTGAACGTCCAGGCGCTAGTGTAACACCCCCGGTGTTACATACCCATTTAATAATAGTTTAAGGCTTAATAAAACCTGATAAATAGGTTTACCTAGGTTTGGTGATGAACTCTTGCATTAAATGATAAGTATATATTTGTTGGAATCACTTTCGTGAATAAATTCAATATGTGTGATGTCAATCAACCTTGTTGTTATTTTTAAACATCTCTAAATGAGTTTGTGAACAAAAGTTATTTAGGGTTCATGTTGGAAAAATGTGGAGAAAATGATTAAAAATGCCAAAAACCTTACCTTGTTTTAATTCCTCAATAGCTTTTTGGAGGATAAATAAATAATTATTTTATATAGAAACTATAAAATATGTTGGTATGAAAAACTTAGTATAAGTTATGAACTTTGCGGGGGAGTGCTTGTTGGTGCTTAGTTTGCATGTTTGATAGATTAGTTAAGGCTCCAAAGTTTGAATCAAACTCAGTTTTTTAGGGGACCTAGAAAATTTCCAAGTCTCTGTAATCAGCCTGACAAACCAAAGTTTGAGCATGTTTATCTCCTAATCAGTGTGGCTAATGATCATGATCCCCTAACCAAAGTTGGAGAGTGAACCGTGTAGAAGATTTTTGTACAGGATGTGGGGCCCGTAGCTTGACCAAACGCGCTGCACGTTGCTTCTAAGAGGGGTACATGGCCACTGCCGACGCCCATGCCCTGCTCTAGCCATGTGTGCGCATAGCGCCGTTCTCGCCATGTTGTTCCTCTACACGCGCCCATGCCGCCCTGCCCCATGCACCGTGTTAAGGAAGGAGCTGCACTGCTGCCCTTGCGCCCTACTTGCCCTCCTTGCCCTCGATGCTCGTCGTGGGCGTGTCCACCATGGATGCGTCGAGCCTCTACCACCGCCGCTTCCACCACTCTACCCCTCTTCACGCTCGACTACCGGCACCACCGCCTCCTCCTCGCTCCCCTCTGTGCCCCGCTCACGCTCGATGGAGCCCGTGTCATCGGGAGCCACCGTGGCCCCTGCTCAGGCCGCCGCGGCGCAGCATGCACGTGGCTAGGCCACTGCGCCCTACCCTGGCGTGGGTGGTGCCAGCCATGGGTGTGCCATGTTCGCCTAGTACCACACAGCCCGTCCTTGTCGGCCGCCACGCCTCATAGCACCGCCGACGTCGTGCACCCTGAAAGCATCTAGGCCCCTAGTTGGGTTTCGGTGATTAATGACAATATAAGATTACTATGACTAACGTGTGTTTTACAGAGGCAATTAAGTTAGGTCATGGTAATGGAGATCGATTGGGAAATCGAGGTGGTCATGCCCCTACGATGGAAATCGTTTCGGTTTTTAAAGTATGGACGACAAGGTTAAGGATGACTAGTTCTAAGTGTCGATTGGAGTTGGAGCGACACTTAGAGTAGTTTAGGACTTTGTTTTTTCTTTGGCCGTACTATTAAGGGGGGTATAGACGGGTAGCTTGACCTAGATGAGTCTAGTGAGTTAGGTGTGGTGCACACTTGTTAAAACTAGCACTAGGTAGCTCCACAACAGCCCTATGATCCTATGGAGCAAACTTCATTCACATATGTTTGAGAGTTGGAAGTGAATGGAGGGTCAAATGCTGACCGGACGCTGGCTCTGGTGCGACCGGATGCTGGAGTGGTCAAGTGACCGGACGCTGAGAGGCAGCGTCTGGTCGACTCTAGTAAGGTTCTAGAGAAGAGAATCTGTGACCGAACGCGTCCGGTCAGTACTGACCGGACCCTAGGGGTTCAGCGTCCGGTCAAGTACAGTAAGGTTCCAGTAAGGGTTTAATGCGACCAGACGCGTCCGGTCAAGGGTGACCGGACCCTGCAAGGTTCGGTGAGCACATTTTCACTGGTATGCGGGTTGAACTGACCGAAGCGCCCGGTCAACATGACCAGAGCGTCCGGTCACCCCGCAGAGGCACATAACGGTTCATTTTTCAGGCTGCCTTATAAATAGAACCTCCACTCGTGTGTGGAGTCACTTTTGCTCATTCCAACAGCTTAGAAACACGTTTGTGAGTGCCAAGAAGAGCAAGGTCCTAGTGAGGTGATTGAGATTTGAGAATCCAAGAGA